TCCTCTTCCCTCTTGCACCCACTTTCCTGTAACCACAAACTTCTGCTGAACACTCTAACACTACATTTTTAAACCTAGCCCATACCTCTTCGACCCCATTGCCTATGCTCTCATTAGCCCATCTATCCTCCAATAGCTGTTTATATCTTACCCTAACTGCCTCCTCTTTTAGTTTATAAATATATATATATATATATATATATATATATTATATATATATATATATATATATATATATATATATATATATATATATATAATTGTGTGTGCCAGGACTTTCCCATTTCCTCGCAAATAAAACACCATTTTTTTAATTAATTTGCTTTGTGTATCCATCACATCAGTTGATGGTTTATACGTTCTTCTGCTACATTATTCAGCACTCCATTCATCCCTTACACTATTATTTGCATTCCAACACTGGGTAGCTTTTTCATAAATATCAATGTTCACATATTGTGAAAGGCGTGAGGATTATCTCAAGCTTCTATACGGCAGCGCCACACGGAATTCCACTCTTGCCTAACCTATAGGCATAACCTACTTCCACCTGGGATTTGTAAAAGGTGACAACGTCTACGACTGCTTTACCTCACCTATCTACACTATAAAAGCTCTTTGCACATATGTTGTATATTACAACCCAGGAATTCAAAGGCCTATTATCCTGGGTGTAAAGGGATCAAAATAAACACAGGAGAAAAACTTTTTACATATATTATCCTTTCACCAAGTAAGAACAGTATGTATGCATGTAGGTATGTACACTATGTACAACAATAGGTATTAGTGCACTCTACGGTAAGCAAGGCAGAACAGACGCCAACCTGCTTCAACCAGCTCTAGAATGGAAATGACAAGGGCAGACAGGTGGGTGGTGTCCACAACACCTCTGCGATTGCCAGAACCATCTTCTTATTGGCTAAACCTGGGTACTGATCGAACGATGGGGCCCCATCGTCCTACCCTAGTACTGGTTTGCTGGTTAGGGGAGAAAGCCTTTCAATGAGGGTGTGTACATGCACCGAATAAAGGTTACGTTCTCTTTGCATGCCACAATAACCATTAATTTTAAAGGAGTAAGCCAGTGGAAGGCTTCGGTCAGATGACCAAAAGCTCCAGCTGCGGGTCATCATATGACTAAAACCTGCATCAGGAAACACTTGTCCTGTTCCTGACAAATCTTACCATGTGCTGTATTCTTTTCGAGATTGATGAACTGATTATAGCGACTCCAGGTTGAGGGACGAATAGCCTTAAACTCCTTCTGATCTTCAACTATTCTTCTTTGTATTTGACTGATGAAATCAGTGTGTGGTGACACGTTTCCACAATAGACACCCAAGTGTAGCACAAGTGTCTAACTTATCAACAGCACCACGATGCCGACTTGATCAGCGAGTGCACGAGATTTTCCGAACCTGCGCTTCTCCTTTGGCAGGATTATAAGTTACAATACTATGACTGGAATAATTCACAACTGAATTATTCCAGCAACAGTTTAGAAAGGAAGCTGTAGCCAACCTGGTCCAGTCTTTCTCCTTATTTTCTTACTTGACCTGTCTTCTGTTTTTCTCATCACCTTGTTTTTTTACCTAACATATTCAATGGCTTTTTACCAGTTCTTCTCAGTTGTTACGGGCCGAAATGTCGTTGAAGGGCAGTTGTGAGAGTTTCAAGCAGTTGCTTAAATCACATTTCTAGATAGAAAGGTATAACAAGGCCTTCACTGGCGCCGTATGGATCACATATCCATTATTCCTGACAATGTCTGCTGCTACATCGCTGCCACACCCTTCAAGCCCAGTGGGGTAGGATTTATGATAGTCCAAGATGCCTAGCTGCCCCCCTACAAACCCCATGAGAGCGGGAAATGGGGCTAGGCTTGGGAACGATTGGTCCCGGAAGATGAAGAGGTACTCGTACCTCTTCCAATGGACAACTTTAGTTAAAGACACTCCGGCAATAGGATAGCAAGGCCGGGTCACTGACTGGTAATGACCCAGGCCAGCAGTACCGGCAAACCTCAGACATTACAGTTCCTCTTCGTTGATGTAACTACACATACTGCTGTACTCGTGTGCTGCAATCCTAAAGGGGGGGTTCATAGGTCGGAGGGCGGAGAGAAAAAAAAACTCGAAAAAATATGAAAATTGAGTTATTGTTACCAAAAAATAGCTGAACTTTCTGGCAACACTCTGGTATAATTATTATCCTTGTACGATGTTTCTAAAAGGAATTACAGTCATTTATAACAGGCATAGTGACAGCGCTGACGCGTCATATTGCATAACAAGCGCTGACGCGGCAGCGGCATTGTTTACGTTTTTTCCCCGTTTTATTTTTATCCTTTTCTTATATCTTTTTATGTCTAATATAATACAAATTCACCATCTGAGATCATGCCAGAGTGGGCGGAGATAATATGATCAAGGAACCAATCAGGTACCCTGGGTATATTGCATAAAATGGCCGACACCTCCAGCCAACAAAATATTCCATACCCACGCTAATATCAATTATAAGGCTTATTTATCTATCACAATTGATCTATTATGACATAATGCAATATAATAATAGCATATAAACATAAAAAGTACACCTTAAAAAATAATATATAGCATAATATGATGCCCCGAGGAAAAAATTTCTATCGATATTTCCCCTGAAGGTGAAGAAAGGGTCCGACCTCTCTCATCAGTGATGAGAGAAAACGGATTTACAATGGTTAACTGTAATAAACACTCGTAGGTCGCGGAAAAAGTGTAAAATAAGGCGAATTTTTCGGGGAAAAAAAATATTTCCCGGGCACCTGGGGTGCCGCGCGCTTCGGCCTATATCTCGAAAGTAAGTTATTTACCTATTTAGAGGGAATGCATCCTTATTTATGAATGAATTGATTTGATTTTCACAACAAACATAGAAGAATGATTGCTTTACAAATTTTGTGGTACCTTTCTGAAGTATCCCAAATATTTTCAGATTTGTGTGGGCAACAAGACCGACATCTTCCAAAATGTCAAAAAAGTTATGAAACTTTATTTTTTTTAGCATGAAGATAAGATTTATTATATAATTGGTACCTGGAAAATGATGGAATTAGAAGTGTTCTATCAGCAGCAAGTGTCAAAACCACTTTTCCAAGTACCACTGACTCCAGTACCCCTGCCAAATGTAATTTTTCGTAAATTTTGCATATTTCATTTCCTTTTTGGCCGATATATTTGAAACTTCAGCACAGGATACCTGGAGTTTACCTGGAGAGAGTTCCGGGGGTCAACGCCCCCGCGGCCCGGTCTGAGACCAGGCCTCCTGGTGGATCAGAGCCTGATCAGCCAGGCTGTTGCTGCTGGCTGCACGCAAACCAACATACGAGCCACAGCCCGGCTGATCCGGAACTGACTTTAGGTGCTTGTCCAGTGCCAGCTTGAAGACTGCCAGGGGTCTGTTGGTAATCCCCCTTATGTGTGCTGGGAGGCAGTTGAACAGTCTCGGGCCCCTGACACTTATTGTATGGTCTCTTAACGTGCTAGTGACACCCCTGCTTTTCATTGGGAGGATGGTGCATCGTCTGCCAAGTCTTTTGCTTTCGTAGTGGGTGATTTTCGTGTGCAAGTTCGGTACTAGTCCCTCTAGGATTTTCCAGGTGTATATAATCATGTATCTCTCCCTCCTGCGTTCCAGGGAATACAGGTTTAGGAACCTCAAGTGCTCCCAATAATTGAGGTGTTTTATCTCCGTTATGCGCGCCATGAAAGTTCTCTGTACATTTTCTAGGTCGGCAATTTCACCTGCCTTGAAAGGTGCTGTTAGTGTGCAGCAATATTCCAGCCTAGATAGAACAAGTGACCTGAAGAGTGTCATCATGGGCTTGGCCTCCCTAGTTTTGAAGGTTCTCATTATCCATCCTGTCATTTTTCTAGCAGATGCGATTGATACAGTGTTATGGTCCTTGAAGGTGAGATCCTCCGACATGATCACTCCCAGGTCTTTGACGTTGGTGTTTCGCTCTATTTTGTGGCCAGAATTTGTTTTGTACTCTGATGAAGATTTAATTTCCTCGTGTTTACCATATCTGAGTAATTGAAATTTCTCATCGTTGAACTTCATATTGTTTTCTGCAGCCCACTGAAAGATTTGGTTGATGTCTGCCTGGAGCTTTGCAGTGTCTGCAATGGAAGACACTGTCATGCAGATTCGGGTGTCATCTGCAAAGGAAGACACGGTGCTGTGGCTGACATCCTTGTCTATGTCGGATATAAGGATGAGGAACAAGATGGGAGCGAGTACTGTGCCTTGTGGAACAGAGCTTTTCACCGTAGCTGCCTCGGACTTTACTCTGTTGACGACTACTCTCTGTGTTCTGTTAGTGAGGAAATTATAGATCCATCGACCGACTTTTCCTGTTATTCCTTTAGTACGCATTTTGTGCGCTATTACGCCATGGTCACACTTGTCGAAGGCTTTTGCAAAGTCTGTATATATTACATCTGCATTCTTTTTGTCTTCTAGTGCATTTAGGACCTTGTCGTAGTGGTCCAATAGTTGAGACTCGATATAAGCTTCTAATAATACACCAAAAATGAATGTAATCTCTACATCTTTTCTGTATTTTCTTCTTCCCTGTCACTCTATACAACCTACTTCCAATACTTACTCCTATGTCTCAATTATTTTCTTAAAGTCATTTAAATATTTTCCTGTTATACCTCATGGATTTGTGATTGTGATCACAATCCATGGACTTGTACACTGAATTTAAAAATGGTATGAATAATTTTCAGTGTGTATTGAACAAACTATGTCAATACAATATTAAAGGTTATAATGAATGGTAAGAACCATAAGTCATAAAGAATGATACACTCGTGAAATATGTAGAAATCTTCTAAACCATTTACATCACTTTAGAACTTCATATAGGTTTTACAAAGAACTAACCTATGAACTTGGAAGCACACATCCTCCCCAAGGTTGTATTAACCAACAACCTCACACAGGAGACAACCGGGTGAACGAGCAAGTGGTACTGTCCATCATACACACAGTGTGGGTGAGGATACACAATCGTATAGCCCGGGAGCTGGCACGTATCAACCCACACTGGTCAGACGAGACTCTCTACCAGGAGACCAGGAGGATTGTGGCGGCAATTTACCAGCATATTATCTACAACGAATGGCTACCTATTGTAATTGGTAAGTATCGCCCTCTCTCATTCCTTTCAATATTAACAGCTGTCCTTAACTTGAAGAATAACAGCCACAACGGCGGTTAACAGTTCATGATTGACTCACGAATTATATATCAATATTAGAGGACATTATTGTCCATCTAGAACATTATCAAATTGAAAATGATATAACGCTGGTCCAAGGTGAACTGATACGTAATAATGTTTACAAGGGATAAGTCAAGATTACTAACCCATGAAAAATGAAGAAATAAGCCGCACTGAGTGAAGCTTATTTTCTAGCTGGACATACTAGAATGATTGTAAACCGACATGTGATGATACAAAGACATTTATTTCAAAGAAAAATCTTATATTTATGCAACGTTTCACTCATCGGTAAGTGTCATATACTCCTGCTTTATTTTTGTTTACTAAAAGAACAACAAAAGTGTAAAGAGAAATTTTAAAATCTTTCGCAAGAGTACAATGAGTCATATTATTTGACTCTAGAGAAACAGCAGACTCGTCGATGATCTACGGAATAAAACAATGCTCACTTGTCCGAATACGAGAGAAGTGTTACTCGTGAGTGTGTGCAACACCTGGGTGATCTATCCTGCTCTAAACCAGCCCGTGTGTTTGCAGGCAAGGACTACATGGTTGCCAACGGGTTGCTACCACTGCGACGAGGCTACTCTAGGGACTACAACAGCGGCCTTGACCCGACTATACTCAACGAGTTCTCCACTGTTGCCTTCCGCTTCGGCCACACTCTCGTCCAGGGTATGATTCAGTAAGTGTTTATTATTATTGTTGTTATTGTTGGGAAACTAATATTAAACTAGAAAGGGTCATGCCACGCCTGAGTAATGGTAGGCAAGCAAGTTTGATCAGAGGAAAGCCACAGCAGCTCTAAATCCTTCACTCAAGATCCCTTCACCAAATATCAAGTAAGAAAGTGGTCACTGACTTTGCAAGAGTTTGCAAGAGCATGATACAGTAAGTAACCTAAAAGGTTCTCTTCAAACTACCTGATTAAAAAATCGGCTCTTTATTTCCTGATTTTTATTATTATAATCAAAGGGGAAGGGCTAAACCCGTAGGATTATACAGCGCCTGCGGGGGGATGGAAGGTATTCAGGTTTAATTCAGGGAACTGGATCACAGATCCAATTCCCAAGACCAAGAGCCCCTCACCAGCATGAAGGAACCTTCCTTGTGGGGATTATTTCCTGAATGTCTAAAAGTCTACTTTCGAACGTTAGTAGCCAATGGCAGCATTTTCCCCATGCTGCAGCCAATAGCAGCATTTTTACCATCTAGTAGCCAACAGCAGCAATTTACACCTTCTAGTAGCTAATAGTAGCAGCTTTCTTATATAGCTGGCAATAACAGTTTTCCCCCATATAGCAACAATTTCTCTAATGTCGGTAGCCACTAGTTACTGACACATACAGCGTCACTGGATGTTGTTGTTGTAGATTCGCTGATACATTTGCCGGCCCGGGTCTTTTCCAGGTGGTGACCCAGCCTTTGTTCCCAGTCACAGGGGTGTCTTGAAGGGGCATGCCAGCTGTGCAGCAGCTGGCGATGCAAGGGCTGCTGATGAAGCTGCACAACAACAGGAAGTGTCAGGAAGGGCCGAGAAGGGGACCATTATAGGGTCAAATGGAGCCGCACCCCAGCTTTAGGCAATGCCAGAGCACTGGGGAACTTAGCTTCCTCGTGACTGATGGTAGAGAGCTTGCTAGTGAGGGGTAACGTTCTTGATATTTCTAAAATTCGTTCTTGATACCTGGATGACTCTGATCTTGGTGTTGTCGTTTTCTAGAAACTCTCCGATGTCGTCGAGTATTTCTTCGGTGCTGCATAGATGTTCAAGCTCGCCAGTTAACTTTATAGTTCCATCACGGAGTCGAGTGAAGTTCTTTGTATTGGTCTGTTGTGTAGAACTTTATGCCATTCCATTTGGCGTACTTATATGGCGAATATGGGCGGCTTTTTGCTTTGGCCGAGTTGTCCCCTTGATGTGCTGATGGTTGGGGAACAGAAATGGTTGTGTCAGTCGTTGGTGTGCTGTCAGTGGTGGTGTTTGCAGCAGAGGAGGGAGGCTGGGTTGAAGTCTCTGATTGATCTGTTTTCTTGGTGGAGGAAGCCATTGGAAGTATATCACTGGTGGGATTCTGAGGCGACTCATCACCAGTAAGAGATGGTGGTTGTGGTGGAGCTGCTTGAGAGAGACTTGTAAGTATGAAGACACTGACGATATTTGTGGTGGTCTTGATTATGTCTGCAGAAGGTGGAGACTCTGGGAATGTAAAACTGGGCATGTTGTTTAGCCTTAGGAGTTCATTCATGGTGGTGTTGAAGGATCCAGGTGTGGCCATATTGTGCATGTGTGCATACATCATGCAGTAGAGGATTCTGGTAGATATATCGGCAGGTATTGGAGGTGATGTGTTGCTGGTGGAAGATGAAGTGTGAGTGGCCTTAAAAGTATTTTAGTGGTGTCACCTTGCAGAGTTGTGATTGCAGCATATGTTGTAGATACTGCAGTCGTTTTCCTTTGTTGTTCGATGTTTTTCTTGAGTATTTCTCTTCTTGTTGGGCATTTGGCAGCGAGAGTGTGGTGTAAATTTACACCACACTCTTAGTGCTTATTTACAGACTATTATTTGCCTGCACTGTTGATATTAACCTGGAGTATTATTATGCAGTGTCAATGTTTAATAAAAAAATATTATTTTTTTCTTTTGTTTTAACAATACAGCGTTCAGTGTTAAGGTGATGGTGCAGTGTTAAGGTGATGGTGCAGTGTTAAGGTGATGATGCAGTGTTAAGGTGATGGTGATATGTAAAGGGGGATAATGCAGGTTTAGGAGTTAGTCTAAGATGAAGAGTTATATTATTATGCACGTGCTCGTCCCTTGCAGGTTAGTGGGCAAGAAGGGTCAGTCTGCGGGAGCGTTGCAGCTACACCAGAACTTCAACAACCCGCGGCAAGTCTACACTCCTGGTAGGCTAGACCAGTTCCTCCGAGGCCTGGCGACACAACCTATCCAGATGTTTGACAGATTTGTCACTTCTGAGCTCACTAACAGGCTCTTCGAGGTGAGTTACCACTTCTGAGCTCACTAATAAGCTCTTCGAGGTGAGGGATCACTTCTGAGCTCATTAACAGGTTCTTCGATGTGAGTTATGACTTCCGAACTCGCTTCTTCGAGGTAAGCTATTAGTTACTTTTTAATTAACATACACCATTTATCCAGTTAATACTTTATATCAGTTATTATACTTCTCGCTCCTCGTCTTGGCAAAAATACTGCTTTAATTATTATCTAAGTAAGTGTCGTATACTTGGCAAACAACTCACTCCTCTTCCCAACACCAGAACTTCCAACACCGAAGCAGACGAAGTGATTTCTTATATTTTCTAACACTATTACCTAACCCCCCTAAAATGTATCCTTCACCCTCGTCCCAGGAGTAAACACCTGGATCTGCTATAATGTATCAACTAGCAAGGACTGATGGAATATAGACAATGATAATTTATCATAATAATTAGACTTTGTAGACTGCATATGTTTTTTATTTAGAGTATTATATTTCAGTAAAGAAACGCTGCATATGTTTATTTGTCTTAGAATATAACAATCCAGTAAAGAAAGGCTAAAACAGCTTCAAAAATATTGTATTCTAAAGTACTGCATGTTTCTCTCTGCTGCTACAAATTGTATTTATCGGACAAAATATTAAACATGGGCTACTATTCTAGATACCTATGTGACTCTGATGGGTTAGTCTTATACCCCTTAAATAATATCTTATCATTTCACGTACACTTTTTAAATTACACCAAAGTGGTGTAATTTATATCCTACCTCTCACCCCCCTCCCACCCTTTTCCAATATTTCTATCCCTACCCATCCTTCTTCCTTACCCATCTCACCAAAGCTCTGGTCTGAACAAGCAAGCTACTATTCTTTTATGCTTGTTTAAAAAGTATTAGATTGTTTGTTGGTGGTGCACAAGACCACTGAAGTATTTAGAACTATGACACATGCACAGTATGTGTATAAACTGCTGGTGTATTCGCACACATGATACATGGTGTCCAGTAGCTCGATCGCTAGCACATTCAGCTCACACACTGAGGTCCGGAGTTCGAATCTACGGTACGGCTGGATAACTTTAGGGACGTGTTTCCATATGACACCTGCTGTCCTTGTACCTGGGTACCTGGGTGTTAGCCGACAGGTGACGGTGGCATCCTGGGACAAAACTGACCTAATTTGGCCGAAGTGCTCAGCACAACAAGCGGCTTTCCATATAGTAGTATGTCAGTGATGTCAGCTAGACCTGTATACCTTGTACATGTACTTGTACAAGTAAAGATATTATTATTATTATTATTATTATTATTATTATTATTATTATTATTATTATTATTATTATTATTATTATTATTATGTATGTGTATACACCACAGGTGTATTAACGTATATAATATACAGTATCCAGTAAGTTGATACATGCTTGACCAACTGGTCGGTGTCTATGTTGCAGACTCGGGAGGTGCCGCGAGGTATGGACCTGATAGCCCTCAATACCCAGAGGGGCAGGGACCATGGTATTGCTGCTTATAACGACCTAAGGGAAGCATGTGGACTTCCTAGGGCACGCACGTTTGAGGACCTGCTTGATGTTCTTCCTGTAGAGGTAAGACTTGCGAGTAAATCAAAGTGAGATGAGATGAAGACAGAGGGACAGGAAAAGAAAGAGAGAACGGAATAAAAGATGAGCTGAAGTTAGAAACAACTTTTAGCTTAATTACATAAATAAGACTCAAATGTTATATCTTGTACATTCCTTAAGTATTTGTTAAAAAAAGAGAGAGAAAGACTCAAAGTGTCTCTATATTTTCATGGAAATTATTACTTTAAAAATAATGTGCCTGTTGCTTTGTACAAAAAATAAAAATGTTAATGGTGTTTTTGAGCCACGCCATCTAAACTAAAGCCTTCTTATTACCATTTAAACAATCATCAATATAATTACAATTTGTCCTGCATGCTACACTCAAAGGTCGATAAAAGAACACGTCAGCCACTTAACGTTGTCCATTAAGTCATACTATTACCTGCCAACCTGAACGTAAACTCAACACCAAAGACATAACACACAAGCTCTAACTACCATACTCCTACTGGAGCAACTACTAAGTGACTAAGAAGGTCTGATCGCTACTTCCTTGACAGGTGGTGCAAACTTTCAGTCGGCTCTACGCTGTAGTGGACGACATCGACCCCTTCGTGGCTGGCATCTCTGAGAGGCCGGCACCTGGCGCTCTTCTTGGACCCACTTTCAGGTATGAAGCAAGACCAGGAGTGATAAATGAAGAGCAAATGAGGAAGGGAGATATGCCCGACACATAAAGGAAATAATTGACTGAAAGAAGGAATTAAGTTGAGAACAGAGAGATTAGGGAACACTAGGGAAATGGGCAGGTAAAGAAAAATACAGAGAACGCTAGGGTAAGAGACAAACAGAAAACGCCAGGGGATGGGTAGGAGAAGGAAGATGCAATGAAATACAATTAAGAGGATAGAAGGGGAGGAAATAAAATGCATTAGAGTATTGGGAAGGCCAAAATGAAAATGAGAGGTTCTTTAGCAGGAAAACAATGTTCCCTGAAGGTAGAGCAGATGATGAAAAAAAAAAAAAATAGAAGACTAGTTTTATTTCATGACATGTGTCATCAATTAATAAATAACCATATATCAGCCACTTTCTTTGCGATTTTTTTTTTCATTAATTTAGTATTTTTTTTTTAGGTACCTCATGTGGCAAACCTCATTTTCACAGAGAAACTTTATTGGCCCGGCATACATTTTCTCGTTCAAAAACATAAATGTTTGACTAGATGGGTTTTTCACCACAGATGCATCGTTGGTGACCAGTTTAGCCGGCTGAAGCGGGGAGACAGATTCTTCTACGATTTGGCAGATATGCCCACTTCATTCACTAAAGGTATGTTTATTTCCAGACCAGCTGTTAGGCTTGCAGATTATTAGTCGAATTAATACGTTGATAGACTTGGAGTTAGTATTCCAACTAATACGATGGTAAACTTGCAAATCGGAAGTCAAACTAATACGCACCTCCATATCCAAATGAACTGCCATTTAAAATCAGACTTTCTAGCCAATAAACTTTAAAAATACTATACAAATGTGAAAAAAAAAACTTATTTGGAATATGTCCATAAGACTGCTGATTCAGACATGATCTAAAAATCTGGCCAGCTCAATGCTACAAGTTAGTCGGGTTGTAGTTTGAGCAAATGTGGGTGAATTTCACAGGTGGTCCTGATTTAACATTTCACACATGTAACTGTGGAAAACTCTGGTACATCTAAAACAGATTTCACCTACGGATACTAGTTGTACCTCGGAGACAGGTGAGGCTTTATCAACACTGTCCCACCTTCGCTGCCCACCCTCTCAGCTCCCTAAACTAATATATCTGACCCTAAATTATGTGAACATATACGTATTAATTTTGATTGTGGACTTAATATATAAAGGAAAAATTATTGTGAACTTGACGATATATTCAAACGCCTCCCTAAGGCTGGTAAACTACTATTGGACAATAAATAGACACACCTGTAGCGAGATGTAATTCACACTGTGAGTCGTACATTACATTACATTTGATGATACATGTGGTGGTCAGTGTAGATTCTCCAGCAACAGTTCACATTTTTCATTTGTATCATTCTTATTTTAATAGTTTCACTTTGTATCTGAAACCTTCCAGATATACGTTAAATTCATTTGTTATACAGGACACTGTTTACCGATACTATTTCCTCGGTTAATATTAAATGAGATTAATTTTCCGCAAACTCCCGGTCTACTACTCCATTTTCGCTGCTCTCCTACGTTTTGTACATCTTTTCAATTAATTTTATAACACTTCCAGTGTGAACTACATTTTCATTATTGAAATATTAATTTCTTCTACAATACAATATTTTCATTTTACTTATTCAGCTTCTTGAAGAATATAAGGAAATAATAGAGAATATTAGCTTTCATGTCACAGAACATCTTTTAAAAGTCACGGAAGATAAACACCTACACAATATCAGATGAACATTATTATCCCCGTCAATTGTTACACACAAATCCCAGGAAAATTATCTAAATTTTCCACATGTAGTATATTTTAGTAACTCAGAACTACGACTATTTTAATAAGGTTATTGTTTAAAAAGACACGTGAGCAAACACAAAGACATATTTATTAGATATTTATTTAGGTCCCAGGACCGAAACGTTTTCTAATATGACCTATTTATAAATAACAAAAAGGCACAATACCGTGACTGGAACGATACACAAATAACCCGCACATAAAAGACAGAAGCTTACGACGACGTTTCGGTCCGACTTGGACCATTGACAAAGTCACACTAACAGAGGAGGAGCAGGACGGCTATATATAGGCAGGAAGAGGTGGAGGTAGTAGTAGTGGTAGTAGTAGTAGTAGTAGTAGTACTACTTGTGCTACTTGTACTACTACTACTACTACTACTACCACTACTACTACCTCCACCTCTTCCTGCCTATATATAGCCGTCCTGCTCCTCCTCTGTTAGTGTGACTTTGTCAATGGTCCAAGTCGGACCGAAACGTCGTCGTAAGCTTCTGTCTTTTATGTGCGGGTTATTTGTGTATGACCTATTTGCTCATGTGATTTTTTAAATCAATTTGTCGGTAGCAGTTGCCAAGGTTTATGCCGATAAGATTATGACTCAGCTCACACTTATCACACTTACAGCTCACACTTATCACACCTACACCTCACACTTACCACACTTACGGCTCACACTTATCATACAGCTCACACTGATCACACTTACAGCTCACACTTACAGCTCATACTTACAGCTCACACTTATCACACTTACAGCTCAACTCGATTCAATCCGGATGATATCCTGGGCCCGCATCCTGTGTGAGGCTGGAGACATGGTAGGCTACGTCCAGCCCCTCGCCTTCAGACGTCCCCGTGGCCTGTAAGTTATTTTGTGTGTATATCATTAATATTTTGTGTATGTTACTCAGTCACTTGTTTACTACTAGCTTTGGACCTGCCTTCATAATAAACAATATCACCAACTAAATTTTTACTAAGTATCTAGTAGTGAAAAAAATGTGGTCAAGATTCTGAAGTAATTACAAAAATGCTTGAAAACAATGTTTAGCCTACTGAAACTTCTATTTTGTTAATTTTTCTGTATAAAGCCCTATTTGTTTGTAATTTCAGGGTAAAAAAAAAAACTTTAATCTACTTTGTATAATTTCTAAATATTAGAATGAGTCTCTAAATGAATCTAATATTTTGTCTTCTTTTTCAGGAATGAAAG